ACTCTCGACTGTCGCTTCCATCTATGACCCTCTTGGGTTTGTCGCCCCATTCACATTGATTGGAAAGCAAATACTCCAAACATCATGCAAAGACAAGGTTAACTGGGATGATGATCTTCCAGACCACATTCTACCATGATGGGAAGCATGGTTGAGAGACTTGCCTAAGCTGGCAGCTCTGAAGATCCCACGAAGCTACTCACAAGACATCAACATCATGCAGTATGAATTGCATAGCTTCTCGGATGCAAGCCTCAACGGTTATGGCGCATGTTCATACCTTAGAGCAATAGGCAAAGAAGGACAGATAAGCTGTTCACTCGTCATGGGAAAAGCGAGAGTTACGCCCATTAAACAAATGACCATCCCAAGGCTTGAACTGACGTCAGCTGTGACTTCAGTCCGCAACGCGGATGTAATCAAACAAGAACTGGAAATTGAAAATCTACTGGAATATTATTGGACAGATTCACAAGTCGTACTAGCATACATAAGCAATGATGCTAAAAGATTTCACACGTTCGTTGCCAATCGGATTCAACGAATAAGACAAAGTACAAGTCCTGAAAAATGGCAGCATGTCAGCTCAGAAGAAAATCCGGCTGATCAGGCCTCTAGGGGTTTAACCGCTGCACAACTGAAAGAATCAAACTGGTTGAAGGGTCCAGATTTCCTTTGGAAACAAGATCTTCCAATCAAAAAGGAAATGGTGGGAGAAGTTGAAGAGACAGATCCTGAACTCCGTACAGGTCATGCATACACCGTGCAGTCAAAAGAAGTGAATCCAGTTTTAGAGCGTCTAAAGAAGTTCTCTGATTGGTCGAGAGCAGTAAAGGCTATTGCCAGACTCAAACGACGCATAAAAGAGTTTAAAGGCGTTCAAGAAAGAACAAACAAAACAACAGATCTTGAAGAGAGGAGAGACACAGAAGTGTTCATTATCAAGCTAGTGCAAAGAGAAGCTTTCACTGAGGAAATACAGAAAATCAGATCTCAGAAGGTGAATTCTCTGCACAAGCATAACAGACTAAAGAAGCTAAATGCTTTCTTGGACAACTCTGATGTACTCAGGGTGGGAGGAAGATTGTCCCAATCAGCCTTGCATCATCATGTCAAACATCCCGCAATTCTTCCCAAGGAGTCCCATGTATCAGCCCTCCTCATTAAACACTACCATCAACGTGTACATCACCAAGGAAGAGGCATGACTGTAAATGAATTG